CAATGGCTGACCTAGGCCGTGGAGCAGAGGGCCATGGTGCAGTGGTGGACATTGACAGTGGAGCAACCATGAAGGATTAGGGAACCAGGGTGTAGCCAGAGACAAGGGTGGAGCCGGCAGAGCAGGAAGCCAGGGCGGAGCAGATGACCACCAGGATGGAGGCGGTGACCAGAACAGGTCAGGAGGCCATGGTGGAACAGAGACATGGACAGACCACCTGGCCATGACAGAACAGGCAGAGAGTTCGTGAGCGGCCTCCATAGCCAAGACATGACAGGTGGAATATCTTTGAATGCCCTCAATGGCCATAGCATTACAAGTAGAGAGTTCAAGAACCTCCAGAGTTCAATGCCTCCATAGCCGCGACATGACAGGCAGAAAATCCTTGAATCCTTGAACCTTGATCCTGTTATGCTTAACATAACATTAAGAATAACAGACAAAAGGATTAGGCACGACCTCATTGGCCATAACCAGACAGGCTGAGAGCTCAGAGACGGCCCCTTGGCCATGACAGAGCAGACTGTGAGTTCAGAGATGGCCTCTTTGGCCGTGACAGGACTGGCAGAAGGTTCACACGTGACCACTGTGGTCAAAACAGGACAAGTAGGAAGCTCACAGGCTGGTGCCAACACAGGACTGAGCTCTGGGGCTAAAGTGGGCTCTGGAGGAGATTCATGGACTGGAGAGGCTCTAGAGTGGACTCAAGGACTGGAACATAAATCAAAACCAACCGTGACACAGGCCTTCTAATATAACTTCTAAAGTCTATTGTTAACTTAAATTAAAACTGTAAAAAAACAAAAACAACAAAAAAAAACATTTTTGTTACTTGTTATACAATAAACGTAAACTTATTTTATTTCAGCTGTTTGTCAAAGCAACATTTTGTTGAACTTGAAGTAGGCCTACTAAAATAACTAAAAGTGAAATAAAAATAAAACACATAATGATATATTTTAAAAAAATTATAAAAATGACAAAAACAACAAATTTATCGAAGTCATATAGTTAGTTAAGTTTATTACAGTATAGTGTATTTAATGTATAGTGTATATTTTAATTAATAAAATGTACATATGCACATAAATGTATAAATATATTAATTCATTAGTGTGTGTGTGTATACATATATAATTTTTCATTAATATTATTATTATTATTTTATACATGAAAAGAATACATGCGGTGTAAAGCGCGCTGTCAGGCGGCTCTGGAGGAGGATTGATTTGGGCCACAGACAGATCTGATCCCTGAGGAGTCCAGCAGGATTCAGTCGTCAGGTGGATTAGACTCACACGCATTAGTGAGCAGTGTGTGCTGGGAAACAGATGCTGCTCTGCTGAACATGTGGACGCTTTACTGAAACACTGGACGTGCGAATTAACATTCAAATACACACACACACACACACACCAAGAGCGCCTTAGAGAGACGGGCTGTAGTTAATTACACACACTCACACTCCTGTGTGAAGAACACTTTAATTTACAGTTGTGTAGTGGACGCACACACCACCATCTGAGCCCTGACAAACACACACTCACCCCTGATCCTCACACACTAGTCTAGTCTACTGTCTACATTGGGAACTACCTACTAAGGAGCCATTCATGTAAAACATGGAGTGCAAGAGATGCAACCTTCATTAATTTAGTTGATAAGTTGATACTTTAATATGCATACAAATACAACACACACAAAGAGCTATTCTGTTTCTCTCTCGTCTTCTTTCTGCTGGCTTCTCATCTTCTCCAGGTCAGGACGTCCATATGAAGTAAAAGCCATCAGCCCAAATATCAAACTCAAGCCCAAAGAGTACATTATCTGACTGTTTCCTGCTCCATTTCTCACAGACACACACGCTGTTATTCATTGTTTTCATACAGTGCGAGTTGATTGTATTGCCTGAAAATTCAGTGTTGCTGCTGCTCTTATATAGTTTGGGAAGATGAGATTTCCTTGTGAAATGTTCTCACTATTTTATTGAGTGTTTTTTTTTTTATTGAGCGTTTTTTTTTTTTGGATTGCAGCAATATTTTAATATACATTTCATATTTCATCAGTTAAGCACTTTTCTTCCTTCCAAATTCTCCTTATTTTAATAAAAATGGTGATATATTATTTCAATTGTAAAGTATTTTCATAGTAGTATTTGTTGTACTGAATTTAATTTATTAAAACACAGATCAGTGTCAAGATGATTTTCAACTTTGATATTACAGTAAAGTGTTTAAAAAACAAGCAAAAAAGGTAAAAAACAAACAAATAAAAACATAAAGGTCTTAAATTATTAAAATTGTAATATAAATATATTTTTAAAATAAGAAAAGAAATAAAATAAATAAAATCACAAACTTCTAATAATAATAACAATTCAATATAAATGTATTAAAAATGTAATTTTACAAAAAAAATCTAATATTTTTAATTATTAAAAAAATAATAAATAGTACTTTATAAAAAACATATCTATAAAAAGTTTATAGATAATATGTTTATAGATAATTAAGCTGGGTTTTTGTCCTTCTTTTTTGTCCTTGACATATCTTTATGACATTCACCCAAAGACTGTAAACCTGTTTACACTAAGCCGATATTCAATTCTTATTTAGGTGCATTAGAGATGATGGCCAGAGTCGCCATACCTTATAAAAAAACACTCACTAATTTTGAGTTTGCTATTCACCAGAAGCAATGCTTGATGTGAACCATGCTTCCAACAAAACATCTCAAAACACCACACAACACATGTAATGAAAAACACACATAGTGCCTCCGGTCCTGGACATCTTGCGGTCTTCAACAGAAAATGAATTTTAAGGTTTATCAGCACACTACTGTAATGAGAGTCGACATTCATCAGTAGAACGTAAAGCCATCTGACCACCAACTGACTCAACAGAAGCAGGAAAACAACCCAAAACACAGGACTAAATCAACAACAGAACAGAACAGAACAGAACAACAGGGGTCATATGATGCGTTTTCATGTTTTCCTTTTTCTTAAGTGTGTTATGTAGCTGTTTGTGTATGTATACGATCTGCAAAGTTACAAACCTCAAACTCTCCCACAAAATGATTTTTTTCTATCTAAAAGAGAAGGCTGAGCCAGACCAGCCGAAAACACCTCGACCCTTACATACCTACATCACTATGTGGAAATATTTGCATAATACCACCAAAATGTACACGCAAAGAAAGAAGCTTCTGAAAGAAGATTCTGATTCGTTCTGCTCAAGTTGTTCTTGCAAAGTTGTTTTTGATCGATTGGCTTGGTCATCTGCATTTTCAGAATCTGACCTGATATGGTAAAAGTGACAACATTATTAACTGTCTTTATAATTGAAAGCTGAAGCTTGCAATTATGGTAAGGGGCGTTACAATTCCAACACATGCTTGAAATGTTCGGCCAATCACAACTCACAGGGTCAGCTGGCCAATCAGAGCTCACTGCGCTTTTCGGAAGGAGGGGCTTTGTAGAAATTGACGCGTTTTAGAAAGACTGGGCATAGAAGAGCTACAATAATGCACAGTATGTGAAAAGTAATGTGTTTTTTGAACATTGAAGCAAACATATTCTATTACACCCAATACACAAAATAATGACCTTCAAAAATAGCATCATACGACCCCTTTAACAGAAGAAAACAAACTTTCTGGAGTGAAGAAATCAGAGTCCTGACTCACCAAGATGCTGTGATATCACCTTAAGAGAGCAATTCACACCAGATATATCAAGAAAACTGCTAAAATGAAACCACTTTGGTGATAAATTCCTCCTGACCATGTGCAGGTCTGATGCACAATTACAGGAAACCTTGTGTGGAGGCTATTGCTTCCAGAAGTAAGACAGAATCTCTTACAGCAATTACAAATAAGAAAAACTTTCTGAATTTTTACAATAATTTTGTAATAATTTTTGAAGACAAAAATTATTACAATATCTAAACATTTACCTTAAATCAAGATACATTTACTAAAAAAAAAAAAAGAAAAAAATCAAGAAAAAAAAAAATCTGCCAATGGGGTTTTCCTTTAATTAAGTTTATACCGTATTGGCCCGAATATAAGATGACCCTGATTATAAGACGTAATCCCATTTAAGTATTTTCTTGTTTTAAGCATAAACTCACTTCATTTTGATACATTTTTTTCAGAAAACAAATTAATATCTTATGTCCTTTGATTCTCAAGTGAATGCATCTTAATTTTCTCTAATAATATTTATATATCTGTGCTGGAAAACAAGACAAAAATACTAATTAAGATTTTTTTTTTTTTTGCAGTGAGCCTGATTTTTATTATTTTGTTGTAAAATACAATTATATTATCACCCAGCTTTTTATATAAATTAAATATACATGTATAAATATCAACTGTTTGACTGCTTCTATCGTTACAAAATGTCAAATATTTTATCATCCTGGTCTAATCTGTTAAATGTGACTGTATGTCATGAAGATATTAAGGTATTATAAACATTAACATCATTTGATGTTTTTCTGTAAAGTTGCTTTGAAAATGTGCATTGGAAAAAAAAAGCGCTATACAAATAGATTTGTACTTCAATAAATGACACATTTGCTCGCAAATGAATGGAAGAAGCCAATGTTTTTGCGGTTGGCGACAGCTGGATTGTGACTGGAGCGCTGATGGTAGGAAGTGGTGTAGATTCCGGAAGCGATCCGGAAATGGAGGATGCGGATGCGGATAGTGGAGGCAATGCAAGTAATGAATGGAAAGTGGTAGAAACTCGAAAAAGAAAGAAAAGTTGGGGACAAATCTCAGAAACGGACAGTGAAAAGGGAAATCACGAGGCAAGAAGGAGGAAAGAGGAATATAAGGTATTGCTGAAGTTTGCTAATGAGTCTGTTAATGTTATTAACCCTTTGAAACTAACAAAAACACTTAAAGAAATTTTAGGGACGATTGAAATGCCAACCGCCATTAAATTTAAAAGAAGAAGAAGAAATGACACATTTTTGTTTGTTTCTTACCTTAAACTCCGTCTCTATGTTGGCGAGTCGTGCAAGTTCATTGCTGAGCTCTAGTGCCGTCAGTACGGGATCTTCGCTGGACAGCGACAGGTAGGCGGCGCTAGCGAGCCCTTTGTACGCGTTCATGCGCGATCTGGAGTGACTGAACGAGTCGCGTTTCTGTTTCTCTGTGCACTCGCAGCACTTGCAGAAGTAGTCGTGCGGCCGCTCGATCCTGGCGCCCTTTATCAGCAGGATGTGTACGATCTCGTACTCCTGACAGTGCGCGGCCAGAATCACCGGCGTCACGTCGTGCGAAAAACGCGTCCCGTCCTCGTCATAGGCGTAGAAGTCGTCGTCCCTCAGTTCCTGCTCCAGCGGGCTCAAAGTCAGTCTCAAGCCACCCGCAAACGGCGGATGAGCCAAAATGGCCTCTACGATTCGCACGTAACCTTTGCTGATTGCCAAAAGAAGTGCATCGCCAATGCGCGCCATCCCGTCTTTCTTCAGCAAAAGCTCCGTGACCTCCAGGTGCTCGTTGCCGACTGCTAACTGCAGCGCGTTTTGCCCCATGTAGTCCACGCAGTTGAAGTTAAGCGTTTTGGACTCGTCCAGCATCTTGCGGACAACGGGAATGTTGCCGTACTCCGCTGCATCGAGGAAACGTTCCTCCTCTGCCGTGAGGCTGGTGCCGCGTTCGTTGAACATGTAGGCGGGGCCTCGGATGGCCTGCCGACGGCCCTTCTCTCGCAGAGTGGTGTGTCTGCGATGCATGACCTCTGACCTGAGAGAAAACAAAAAATCAGTCATGAAATGGTTTTTCGCAACCCACATGTGATGTATTTCAGTGAGAAACTGAATATTCAATTGGGTAAAAGTTGATTTTATCCATTAAAACATTAAAAAGTTTAAATTTTTATGTTTACAAAGAAAAAAAATCATAACATGCACAATAGGAAGATAAGAAAATATAGCCAGTTTTTCTTAAGTATTTAATGTGTTCTTAACTAAAATAAAATATGTATATATATATTTTAATAAAATTGTTAATTGAAATAAAATAGATGTTAACAGAAATAAAACAGAGTATTAAAAATAGTCTATTTCAGTTCATTGCTCAGGTAAAATTTCTCATTTTCATTTTAGTTCAAATTGAAGCACTAAAAATACTAAAACTAAAACTGAAATGAAAAAAAAAACTCAATAGTAAATAGACATATTTAGATAACAATAATAGTAATAATAATAATAATAATAATAATAATAATAATAATTAGTTTTATAATAATAATAATAATAATAATAATAATAATAATAATAATAATAATAATAATAATAATAATAATAATAATAATAATAATAATAATAATAATTAGTTTTAAACACAAAATTACTAAAACTTCAAAATATTAATAAATACTATGATAATAAGGATACTAAAATAACATTGATTTAAACAACATCGGGAAAATGTCACAAACTAGCTGTAAAAGGTTGCTGCTAAATAGCTTAAACGAGTGTGTTTAATTCAACTAGTCTAATCTGTTCTGCTCACTGCACAGCATGAGATTCAATCCATAACTGTCTGTCAATAGACTGATGGTCTGAAAAGGCTAATCACAGCTCTCCTTTTAGAAGTTGCTAAATTGGCCTTTCACGCCACATGAGACAATCTGACCTCTGATTGGACCAATAATCAATGACATCAGCTCGGCGCTGTAGTGTTCAACAGTGGGAGCAAAACCTAAGAAAATTTCAACACACACATTTCCGTTTTAGTCATTTCTAGATAAGAGTCTGGGTGATAGCAGTCTTATTTTCCATCGTTAAAACACAAGAGGGTGAATATATCACACTTTAAAAATGACACGATGATTGCTGCATGCAAATGCGATAGGTATGTTTGCAAAATCATTTCAATTTTAGCCCTCTTGATCACAGTTTTGTCTAAAATTGCACATGTATGCCTCAAGAGAAAATCCATTTATTCAGTACAAACAATTTTTACACACAAACTGCTTATACGGCATAGAAACAAAAATATACACACAAACATACCTGTGCAGTGAACAGATCAATATGTCATCTGGTTCATTCTGTGCTGCTCTGAACATTTGATTTCCAAATGCTGGCAAACTCTCTGTGAGCGAGATATTTCATACTGCAGCAAATCACGAGAGTCGCAACCTGCTATAAAACAAAAACACTCTTAGCTTTTACACACAACTCCAGAGAGAGAACCAAAATTTTCTGGATAGACACACCAATGCTGCGTATGTTTTTTAATTAGTGATGTTTGTTAAGTCAAGCATAACCATTGCTGTTGCTCATAATTATAATTCTGAAATGATCAAACCTCTAACACCAAGTATGAAAGTCCAGTGTGCATCATGCGTGTTGAGGAGAGTGTGCTAGTGCTTCACTAAGTGATCAGACGCACCATTTTCACCTGCTGGAGCAGAAAACAGGTGAGGAAATCCTCACCTACAGATATATCTTCAGACCAGAAGATCACAGAGACACAAGGATGCAGGACTACTGAACACCAGACAGGAAAAAAACACCTAGCAACCACCCGACCACCCTAGCAATATCCTGGCAACCACCCTGAATAACCTAGAAACCACTTACAGTAGGAATTCCCCAGCAATGCCCTAGCAACCACCCCGAACACCCTAGCAATCACTTAGGAATTCCCTCAAAAGTCCTGGCATCCACTCTGGACACTCTAACAATTACCTGAGAATGCCCTAGCAACCAACTAAGAGCGTCCCATCAATGCCCTAGTAACCCCCCGAACACCCTAGCAATCACTTAGGAATGCCCTAATAATGTCCTGGCACCCACTTTGGACACCTTATCAACTATCTGAGAATGCCCTAGCAACACCCTGGCAACCACCTAAGAATGCTCTAGCAACCGCCTAAGAGTGTCCCATCAATGCCCTAGTAACCCCCCGAACACCCTAGCAATCACTTAGGAAT